TTTGTAAATTATTGTATTTTATTTTCTTTTTATAACCTGGATATATTTTTGTCCTGTAAGATTTTTTGGTTTGATTCTCAATTCTCTGTCAGCTCCTTTATAATATGTTCTCAGTAATGAGAACCATCACTGAAAATAATGGGAATTTTAAAAATGATTTAAAAATGAAAAATGTAATTTAAAAAAAATATTTAAAAACCTTTCAAACTAGAACTTACAGATGCATTTTTTAAAAATATTATGGAAAATGGGGCATTATTTTGCAATCACAATGCAAAAAGTTAAATTAAAATGGATAAATATGCTTCAAAATATATATTTCTTTATTTTGATGTTTTTTTTAATAACCTGGATATGTTTTTATCCTGTAAAGTCCACATTTTGAGGTTTGATGCTCAATTGAATTCAAATTCGAATGAATTTAATCACAATTCAAAGATCATAATCAAACTAAAATTAATAAATAGGCTCACATATGAATGTGTTAAAATCATTTTAAAAGCCCCAAATACAGAAGTATTTAGCATGTGCTGGTTGTTAGATGTGAGCACATCTGTTTAATCACAGTGGAGGATCTGATACACAGATGCGTCCTGCTCAGCCAAAAGTCATGCCAAATATTTATTCATATACTGCCCTAATTCAGCTTCCATGTTTTGCCTACAGGCTAAATGAGCAGTGAGTTCAGGAATCAGGAGCCGGTGAACGTAAGAGCTTTGATCTGAGCTATAAGTGGATGCAAGGGAGAAAATGACCTCAGAAGGTCATTTATCAGAAGCTAATATATGAGAGTTATATTAATATACCTGAGATATTTCTGGGATTTTATGAGTTTGATTTTTCATACTGGAACTTCAGTAGCTGCAGACCAGAGACAAGAGTCTGTTCACAACAGACTTTAGATTAAAACATTTGTCTTGTGTTTTGAGTATTTTATCATTGTTGTTCATTTAAATAGATCTGTATTAATATCATTTCTATATTTTCCTTATTTGATTAGCAGTCAACTGACAATTTTAAATTCAAATTGAAATTCACATGCAGTGAATGGGTGCCGTCAGAATGAGAGTCCAAACAGCTGATAAATACATCACAATAATCCACATGCAATCCACACCACTCCAGTCCATCAATTATCATCTTTCCCTCAGAGTAATATTAGTATTAAACTAGTACTATGCAACCACCTTAGATCAGACATATCCATTTCCATGAACCATTTTTTTTGTAATGTTCACTAAAAATCATTTACGAGATCAGAAATGTGTATTAAGAAAGTAAACGAGGTACATTTTGATTTCACGTTCACGCGACGGTTTTGCAATGTCTATGAAAGACGTCTCTTATGCTCACCAAGGCTGTTTTTTAAAAAAAAATCAAAAATACAGTAAAACAGTAATATTGTGAAATATTATTACAATTTCAATGTACTGTTTTCATTTGAAATTTCCTGTGATGTAAAGCTGTATTTTTAGCATCATTACTCCAGTCTTCAGTGTCACATGATCCTTCAGAAATCATTCTAATATGCTGCTTAATATTTTTATGGAAACAGTATTCTTTGATGAATAGAAAGTTCAGAACTACAGCTTGAAATAAATCTCTCGAAACACTTTTGATCAACCTGATGTGTCCTTGCTAAATAAAAGTTATTAATTTATTTTCTTAGATCAGACATATCCATTTCCATGAACCATTTTTTTTGTAATGTTCACTAAAAATCATTTACGAGATCAGAAATGTGTATTAAGAAAGTAAACGAGGTACATTTTGATTTCACGTTCACGCGACGGTTTTGCAATGTCTATGAAAGACGTCTCTTATGCTCACCAAGGCTGTTTTAAAAAAAAAAAATCAAAACTACAGTAAAACAGTAATATTGTGAAATATTATTACAATTTCAATGTACTGTTTTCATTTGAAATTTCCTGTGATGTAAAGCTGTATTTTTAGCATCATTACTCCAGTCTTCAGTGTCACATGATCCTTCAGAAATCATTCTGATATGCTGCTTAATATTTTTATGGAAACAGTATTCTTTGATGAATAGAAAGTTCAGAACTACAGCATTTATTTGAAATAAATCTCTCGAAACACTTTTGATCAACCTGATGTGTCCTTGCTAAATAAAAGTTATTAATTTATTTAAAAAAAAACATTTGTGTAGAATATAACATTTTAATTACCCTTTATTAGTATCTGTTGCATCTGTTTGCAATTTTTTTCCTAGCATGTTTTGTTGTTGTTGTACTGCTTTAGTTTTGATTATTTGGCAGAAATATATATAAAGCGATCATGACAATAAAGTACATTGAAAATATGAGAGTAGCCGAGAAGTAAACGAGATCAGAAAGCAACACACAAGCCATACTCAAACTCATATTTCCTGCATGATCACCACTATACCACTAAGTCACAGCCTTGAATACATTTCCTTTCAGAACAATGTGTCTATTCAAAATGTGGGCCACCGGATGCTGTTTGAGATACTTCAGTCATAACGTGTGGGCGGCAATAATTGAGCGCCTGAGTGTCGACATTGTGTGAAGCTTCAACAGTTTCGTTCTGCAGATCTGCTCAGAGTGGCTTATATAAAACAGATGAACCGCGCTGTGATTTACTCCACAAGTCAACTGCTACTTAAACTGATGTGCTCGCTCAACGCTTCTGCCAAGCGGCATATTAAAAACAAATTCATGTTTGGATAGGATTTTCAATTATGATCTTCATTTGTTACAATGGGTGATTAGAATTAGTGCACACCTGTTATTTCATTATTCCATCATTATACATATATAATTGTCATTGTAATATTATACTGACTCTTCAATTTAACTACACTTCTAAATGAATGAATTAATTATGAAAGCTTAGTTATTGGATGTACTCCCTGCTAGTACGAAATCATGACGTGATCATTTTGTGGATTTCCAGTGATCGAAGATGGTGAATCTCACAAAAACCTGCCAAGAACTGGATCATATTTCACCCCTAACTTAAATAAAAAAGTATATATGTTATGTTTTATATTATATTTATATATTAAATTATTTATGTTTAAAATCTTTTTTTTTATTTTTGTTATATATCAAAGGAAATTAAGCGTCAAAATACTGTACACAGTAATACGATTTTAATTATATTTAGAATTCAGAAAATAATGTTACAAAGCAGAAACAATGCACTGTAATACAATAATTTTTCAATGTTGTAAATAAAAAAGATCATTGGAGTATGTTTTACAAAAAATACAATTTCTCTCTTTCTACTTCAAAACTGAAAATTTCATTTCAGACTTAAAAGAAACAAATTAAGTTATGTTTTATATTATATTTGTATGACATATTGTATTTAAAAAGTATGTTTAGTTATATTTTGCATAAAGTAAATTAAGCCTAAAAATACAGTATTGCAGATTTGAATTATATTTATTATTCAGAATAGTTAAAATGTCAAGAAAATAATGTCACAATGCAAAAAGAAAATCTTAATGCACTCCACTGTTTTTGGAGTATGTTTGACAAGGAAATAATATTTCAGTCTTTCTACTTCAAAACTGAAAACTTAATGTCAAACTTTAAAGAAATAAAACATATAAGTTATGTTTTATATTTGTATTGCACTATATAATATGAAACATTATATTTAAAATATTTGTTAATGTTTTGCATGAAGAAAATTAAGCCTAAAAATACTGTATTACAGTAATGAGAACATAAAAGTTCAGAACATTAATTTCACTTCTAGACTGTAGTAAAGGACATGACAGCAGGTAAATCTGAGCATTTGTGCACAACCATCTGTTCTTGCTCCCGCACGTCACTGTTTCGCTGTGCTTTCCGACTGCATATGCCAACACAAAGGGTGCAGACCAAATGCACCTGCACGCTACACTACCAGAGGTCATGCTGGGACAGAAAAGAGAGATCAATCAGTGCTGCATTTGCCAGGCTTGTGTGTGCATAAATCTGAGGCACAAGACACATTTTTACAAAATACTTTTACATTGCGATAAAATCACTATTCTTTGTCAGTATCATTTTGTCTGTCCTCTTTATGTCTGCATCATTTATTATGTTTTCAGAGAATGAAGAATATGTGTATTTGGTCTTGTTCCATTTGCAGATTTATTTGCTCGATTTAAAGCTGAAGTGTGTGGTGGTGATGCAGAAATTGCTAGTAAATTTTACAAACAATTACAGAGGAATGGCAAGTAACAATTAAATTAAAGTAATTAAACATAAAATGTTGAAGTATGAAATAGTATTTTCTTGTAAAACTTTGTTTAAAAATATTTTTTTACAGAGTATGTATCACCTTGTTTCAGATGTTTGTAATGTCAAACTATTAATTTAACTAAAGATGCTATTTTATATATATTATATATATATATTTTTTTTTTATTATATATATAAAAATATTTGGTTACACTTTACTTGAAAACTTAAATGCCTGATGCATCATAAAGGTATTTTTAATGCACAGTATAATGCATTATATATATATATATATCTCTTTTCATAAATAATTGTAGCCAAAGTTAAAATGCATAATATTTGAAGATTCCGTGTTACATCTGAAATTGTTTGTAGTGTGTTTTAATGCAGTATACTTTCAAAAGTTGTAAAAAATAAATAGTTAAGTATTGTTATGTGTAATAACTGAGGTTACAAATATTCATGAGATCATACAGTGCATTATAATGTTCACTACAATACATAATTCATGCATTTTATATAGCATTATATATAAAGTGTTATTGAGCATTTCAACATGTAGGTGTAGTATAAGAACAAAGAATTTTGTATTTTAGAGATGCTTCTAACAGGAACAATGAATGATATTATGAGTCAGACTATGCATCGGTGTGAAACAGGAAATTTCATTATCTGATCGGACAGACTGTTGTCTTCACACTGGCATCATGTGATAGATTTCTCACCCTGGCCGACTTTTTCTCTTTTCCACTTGGGGAAGAAAACGACAGATCACTTTCTCACCTGTGCCTGATGGCTGGGCACAAACAGCATTTCAGCGGCCATCGATTCAGGATCAGTACACACTCTTATGGGCCGATGAGAATCGACCACTGCACACTTATCACACTGACATTTTCTAAATAATTGAACTTGTGCAATGGAAACAGACATCTCTACGATAAAAAAAAAATGGTTTCATGACATTTCAAAAGAGTGTAACATTTGATAAAGTGATGCCACTTCAGATTGTCTTTTGATATGACTTCACAACCAGACCTACTTGAATGAGTCCCGACTGAGTCTGATGATACGTTTGCCAAAAATGGCTATTCAAAAATAAGAAATAAAACTAGATTTTTACATTTTGCCTGATCATGATGCTAAGGCATTCAGGGTTGTTTGTAATGCTTAGCTAAGACGTTGCTTACTTGATCGAGATAGAAAAGAGAAAAAACAGCTCTAACACAAGTCTCTGTGATTTTATGGTTTCTGGATGCAGCAGTAAGTTTCCTTAAATTCTTAAATTGTCAGAAAATATGTTGAAATACTAATAATCAGAGGCGATTCCAGGACTTTCCTTTTAGGGGGGCTAATGAGAGTATAATATATATGTATATGTATGTATATATATATATATATATATATATATATAAATAAAGTTTTGACATGAGTGATATAACAGTTAAATATGAATAAATATATGTTAATTTATATTTCATGCAAATAGATATATATGGGTGTATGTGTCTGTAATGATGTCTTCACACACAAAAACCCTAATCTTTGTGACTGTGTGTGATGACGTTGCGGTGCGTTTTAAAAGCTTCCAATAATTATTCATTTCTTATATGGGCACATCAATGGAAGAGACACTTTAATTAATATAGAGGGCTGGATAGAGACAAAGGCAAGAGTGAATTAGCAGATAAGCCCTATTGTAAGAGACATTTGTTAGTTGTGATGAGGTCAGGGGTGTTTTTGCGGAGCCACACGGATGGGCTATTAAATTAATTGCTTTGCTAATTACACCAATATCAAAGCACATCTGGCGAGTCCCTGATGCACATTCTGCGCAATTATATCAAAGCAAAGTACACCTCAAGTTCACGGGGTGAGATGGCTTCATCAAAACAGGCTTGAAATGTTGGCACTAAAACATCTAAGGATTAATCTTGAATTGGTTATAGCAAATTTCCCACTTAACTGTAATCTGTCTGTCAGTGAGGTGACTGCGACAGGGATTGATATTCTTCTCCAACAGCCAAGGTGTCTGCTATTGATCTTCTGTAGGATTTACTTTGTTAATTAATGACTC